CTGCTCAAAGTCTATTATTTCCTAAACTTCTGTTCAGCTACACCATAGCTGAGCAGAACTGCCATGTTTCTTTCAGGCCTAAACCTGCTTGCAAGTTACAAACACCTTCCCTCTGCTCAGAATGGTTTTTCCAAACAAGCAAACAAAACAACCCCAAACCCAACCCAAACCAAAAAAACCAAGAAAGCTACAAACCTCTCCTAAGCCTCCAACTCCCATTTTCTGACTGATGTTGAAAAGGTCCAGTACTGTCAGGTACTCTGAATGTCTTCATTCCCATCTGTTTTCACTCCTCTAAAATGTCCCTCAACAAATTTTCACCAGCCAAAGGTCTCTTTATGGTTAAGTCAAGTCCGAGCCAGAGATCACTAAGAGAATCCAGAGGCTTCGTACCACTACCAGGCATCACTTGTGACCATCAGGGCTGATGCAGCACCCTGTGTGCTGGCATCTGCTGCTCTGCAGCATAGGAATGGGAGAGGGCTGTCAGCTGGCAGCCAGTGCTGCCCTGTGCTTTACCACTTGCAACCTGGTGCGACATCAGCCACAAAACCCCATCACTACAGCCTTGTGTGTTGTAGTACGACAGTAAATTGAGTTTTTAGAGTGCAGGTGGTAACTTGATACCAGAAATGGGTCACACATGATGTGATACAGCAATGGCAGGACAATGGCTCAGTGGGGAAGTTGGTCTTTCTACAGGGCTGCACTAAGGTCTTCTGGATGCCAGGAAATCTGGCTCCTAGGGAGCTCACTCACACTCCACTGTCAGTCCATGAATAGAAGCACACAACTGGACAAGCAAAGGCTTTCACTCTCAAAAACAGACAAGAGAAAAAGAAAACCATCTCTGACATTTAACTGGGGAAGACAAGTGAATGATCCAACATGTAGACTGCAGTCTGGGGTCATAACGTAAGTATGAAATCGTTAATGTTTTAACCACAAGGGATAGAAACAGCATCTGGAGATGGACACAGAGCATAAATAAGAGCAGCTGTTACAGCAACCACACAGCACATTGGGGATTTCATCCAGTTCCAAGAATGCCACTGCCTAGACACAAAAAAATACAACACCTAGTTCAGCAGTTCAGATTTCAGGTTTTTTTCCCCCTCCTTTGCTCCCCGGCAGAAGCTGCCACTGCCCTTCTGTCCTCATTTCACCTGCAGCCTCAGCACCCTGGGGAAGGTGGTGTGCAAGGAGAAGGGACTGCTGATGTTTGCCAAGCCTCTGGGAGTAAGTGCTGGGGTGCCCCATCAGTTTCTCCCTGCACTGCCTGTCTTCTTCTCCACAACTGTCCTGGAGCCTCAGTGCAGACCCTAGTGATTGAAGGATTTATTCAGTTGTTTTAAATACAACTATAGTGAGGGGAACTTAGGGGTTTTTACTTCAAGAAAGGGAGATCAAGCAGGACTTGTGCCTAACTTAAAAGCTGTGAGAGTTTTAAGTCCACCCTGAGAAGAGCAGGAGAGAAGCTATTGGCTCAGACATCCCTACACTGCTCCATAGCAAATGACAAAAGGCAACTGAGCTCCTGCCATCTTTCTGCCCACCATTACTTGGCATCCAAAAGATGCAGGAGGTTGTTGAGGACCTGCTCTGCCTGCTGGAGTGCTGGGGGCTGAGGGAGGGCTGAGCTAACACAAGTCAGGAAAGTCAATAAAGAAATCTCACAACATATTTTAGCTCCAAGAAAACCACCACCTCCACACATAGTATCACATCCCTCAGCAAAACCTTAGCTCAGAGCAAAGGATTTCTTCTTATCTGTTACCAGGGGTTTGTAACACACAGCAAGTGCTAGAAGCAGTACAGCAGGTAGGGGCATAAAAACTTCCCATATAGAGATTTGTACAACTAAAGCTTATATAAATGGCAGAAACTTCCATTGAGGGCTTGTCTTAAATACAGTCAAGAAGAAACATGCAACAAAAACCTGCACATAGGCACCAGGCTGAAAGGCCAGAATCTCTGGCAGCTCCACCAACAGGACGAATCAGCAAAGGCAGAATCCTGCACATGGTTTATATTCTGTTGTAAAACTTACTCTAACACTGCTGGCTTGTGCTCCTCTCACCTTCCATTCATCTCAGCCTAGAGGCATCAACAGCCTCACTGCCCAGGTCACACCATGCTCCAAGCCCTTTGATCCACACTCTGCACTTGGACACTGTCAAAGCACCAAGGACTCACAGTTTGTACTGTGATCCCCATGCACATACCATACAGCAGATACACAACAGCTCCTGCAGACTCCAAGCTGGCTCATTACTGCTTACACTTGGTTCAGATGAAACACTTCTTGCCTATAACCCATATGTAACTGCTGGCCCTGTGCCATCAGCCCAGATACCATTATGCTCTTAGCATTAAACATGTAAGAGCTGCTTCTCCCTTTAAAAGCCCAGAGAAGCCCTCTCATCTTTTGCTTGCATTCCCCTTTTAGCTGCTGTCAACAGCTCCATAATAAATTACTTCTGGAGCATGAAGGGTGTCCGCCTCAATACAAGCTACTAAAACACAAAAGGCAACATAACACTGGGTTCTTCATGAAGCCAAATGAGATTGAGGAAGCAGGAGGAGGGGGAAAAAGAAGCTGCTGTCAAATACAAATACTGACGTTTGACAGAAGCACTCACTGCTTTAACACCAAAATATCAGCACCAAGTTTTAAATACCTGCTGTGAGCTAAGTACATAAATCTCTTGCCATGTGTCCTGTGAAACTAAAGCTGGTTTTCAAAAGAGATTTTTGAAGACAAAGGGCTTCTGGTCCCAGACCAATAGTTAGATATGAGCACAATGTGATGATTATTGGGAGCTGCACAGCAAAGCAAGAGGGGACAGTATTCACAGTATAAAGAGGAGACATTGTTTATCTAGGGCTGAAAGAGTTTGAGCTGAACCAGCAGAGCTGTATATACATTGGCTATTCATTCCTTGGATCTGAGAGTTGGGGTCTGAGGGATTACAGTCCTTCCACTCCAGCTCAAGTGGAGCATATCTCTTACAGTTCCTTCCATATGAACAGCCAGTTACACAAGCCAGTAAGTGTTTTAGTGGAGAGCATAATAAGCAGAGACTATCCAATGGACAAATGACAATCTAGAAACAATGCAGAGGGTACCAGGTAAAAGGATCTCCTAGTTACTCTGCTGTTTCCTATCACAGAAAGTTTATCTTGTGCTATCTGTACCTATATCAGGTACTGAAATCCACCCTTAAACCCAGCAATCTACTACAAGGTGAGCTGTCAAATTTCCATAGAGAAAAAACAATGCCCCAAGCACCACCTATGCTGCTTCAGTTAACAAATGGTGAGAAAAGGTCTACTAGCAATGTGAACAGCTGTTTTCATCATCTGATCATGATGGTAAATAAATCCCTCCAATCTACAGAAAACCCTTCATTTTGCATTGTTAAGCCGCCGGGTACCAATTACCAGTCACACCAGAAAAGACAGCGAATAAAGCCCTCCCTGCTTTGATACCAACTGGACATGCTGGACAGAGAGTTCCAGCTGCCACCAAGAGTCACACCCTCCAAGGTACATTTGTGTTTGTGTCTCCCAGACACTGCAGAAGTCACTACTAAGCCCTTGCCCAAAGCTGGAGACAAACTGCAAAATAAAATAGTGTTGCTTCTGTGTCAGAAGATGGCTGCATCACATCCAGAACATTCATGACAGGGATACATACCCCTTAGGATATAAAACACAGTTTGGAGAGAATGGCCTTGTTACAGAAACTCAGCTATTGGTTGCAGAAGTCAATGTGACAGCTTGGGTTGAAGTTTTTTCTTTTGCTTCCACAGAAAGAGACCAATGATTCCCAACTAGCAATAACATTGCTTTTAAAGGGATATAGTAAAACAGAAACAGACTATAATATGCTACACTAACTGTTGTTCTTTTGGCACATAATGACACATCCACTTTTAAGTGATGAGGATAAACAAAAAGCTCTGCTTTTTGTTTCATTTGACTAAAGGCTGAGCTTCCTTCCACTCCCTCAGATTCTCTTCCCTCCACAGCTTCCCAGCAGCTGCTGTCTGCTAATAAGTGACATCATCTTTCTTTTTGCCTGCTCATCAGCAAAGGTGGTTGGCTGAGTCTAATCAGGCAACAGCTTCTACTACAGGCAATGCAGCATCTTGTGCTGCACTGCAAATCCCAGCTAATTACAAGCACTTTGGGCTTGGTCACAATATGTATGCAGAGTGAGAACAGAGCTGTTGCTAAGCACAAAGTCCCTCAAAGGCTGCAGAGGACTGCAGCCTGCACCATGGCAGATGCATATGGGACAACAATGCACACTGCACATTCTCAGTGCATTCCTCAGCTGTGCTTTTGCTACCTGGGAGCTCCTATGGTCATTCTGGCAGGAGATTGCTGCTGTAGTTTTCTGTTAGCTTCAGCATTACAGATAACCTGAGAACAAGGCCTTTGAATTATCAGTGCATTCAAGAGAGGACTCACATCAGCCTGCTTATTAACCTTTCCTTGTGGCTAGAAGCAGAAGAAAGCTAAGTGGGGAGCAGGACAGCAAGAAAAGGAAAAAATATTTTTAAAAGGGCATTGTTGCTGTCCATTCTTAGTAGCATCATAGCTCTTTACAGGTTCTTCCTCTCACTTCCTGATAGAAGACATGACCAAGGTCACTAATGGCAAGATGGTATTGGACTTGGGGTGGAGGGTGAGGGGTGTGGTGTCACTCAACTAAATTAATAAGGGGTAAATCCATCACAAATGTCACAATGCCAAGGATTAAAGCATCCACTCCTGAAACCCTGAATTACAGTGAGGATCCCTGTGGAGGGTACACAAGGCAAGAAACACTTTGGAATGGCACCCAACCAGCCTGCTGAGTGCAGAAACTGAATTAAGAGGAAAAAGGAGAGATGAGAAATCAAAAAATATTGCAGTGGTTATGCTTCAGTATAACCATTAAGCCATCATTCCACAATCCAGTACCAGACTATGCCAGCATTTCTTCCAAATGCTTTTTGAGTGCTATTGCCAGGGTTGCAGCATTTGCAATGGCACCATACCTCATCCCACCCATTTTGAACTAGAGCACAGGGGAGACCAATCGACCTTTGCAACTGATGTGGATTTAAACCTAACACCTCCCATTCCTGAGGAGCACACCCCAACCACAGTGCTCACTTTACACTCCCATCCTATGCCCCAGTGAGAGAGGGTGAGGGGGACACTACTTGGGACTTCCAACAAATAAGGTGGGTGAAAAAAGTTCTAGGCACTGCTCCAAGAAATTCTTACACATTTTATACCAAGCATTCCCAGGGTAACAAGTGCCATCAGTTTCTTCAGGTGAGGGCAAGAACACAGGATTTTTTCTTTTTTGTTTTGCCTTGCCCACTTAATATATCAGCTATTATATTGGACCTTATCCTTGCTCTTGTCTTCCTTCCTCTGGCTCAAAGCATCATGAAGTAAATTGCCTGCCTGCCTGCACACACACACACACACACAAATTCTTCCTTCTCCAATTATCTTTGTAAGAAGTCTCAACAGTAGCTTAGGACAGTGTTCTGGTGGGCACATTCTGAGAAAGTATCATGTGCCTACCATATCAAGCTCTTCACAGATGGGCAAAAGGACATTAGTTAATCTTATCAAACTAGGATGGGACCTGCTCAAGACTGAGACTTCTGAGAATGCAAAGAAATATTAGGCATTACGAACAATTTCCTAGGTGGAGAGCAAAGATGCACTTCTGAGACAAGAAAATGCTCTGTGTTTTCTTATGTCCTCTGTATTGCTATTTTGGACATGGCTTTTTAAGCCAACTTTAATACCTCTGCATCCAAGTTCACTCAGAGCCAGGAGGACTGTGAAGTTCTGTTTCTTTTTCAAAGATCATTTGTAATATACACAGATGTTAAGGTGATGAAGCCATAAATACTTGTGATGGTCAGTGGAGTCATAGAAAATATTTGCTTTATAAATGTGCAGCTTATTCTGGAAAGGAACTTACTCTTCAAACAAGCACCCAATCACAGACACTCAGATATGATGTAATTTTCCAAACAGACCTGGTTCCTGCTTCCATGAAGGACACCAAATGACATCTGCCTCCCTTTCTGTGGGCCAGCTACTTATTTTGTTTTCCCTCCTCCTCTTAAATAACATACTAGTTCAAATACAAACCAAGGCAGTTCAGAACTACCACAGGAACTGCAGGAATCACCTGTGATAGTGTACACCCTGTGCTATGTAAGTCACAGTAGATGGCCACAACAGGCTGTGCATAAAGCATGAGTACATGGATTTCTAGTGCATGACACATCAGACTATGATTAGACAAAAGAATTCTCAACAGAATAAATTATCCTTGGTCCTCTCTTACAGGCATTTAAAGTACAACCCAGCAACACACAATGAATGTAAAGAAAGCAGGCAAGGCACTGAGAAGTTACTGTTTTGATTTCTACAAGAACAGAAAAATTTGTATGTAGCTCTTGTGAAAAAAATACAGCTATAAAAATAAACAGAAAAAAGAATATTCTTAACTTATTCCAGGCTAGAGTGGATATAATATTAGATGGGTTGTTGAATTCACAAGTCATGTTTATATTTAGCAAGCTTCAATAAATCATATCTGACAGTTACCCGGTAATCTCTGTTTCAGAAAACTTACCTATTATAATGACAAATGCAAAACTAGCCAGTGTCAGTGATGATCCACTGTTGATCATGTTGATGAGCAGCTTGAACAAAGGATATAGCAGCAATAAGGCCCAGAAAAGCCAGTTCAAAAGTGTCCATGGTCGACGGGGTGGTACTATAGGGACTGCTGGGTAGGATCCTGTTCGGTAATATTCTTCCTGGAATGCATCCTAGTAGAACAAAGGAGGGCAACAATTAAACCTCCATCTGCCAACAAAACTAGCCATCCCTGACTTTGATGTTCCTCATTCTGCAGGCTTGCAACTACAGGGGAAGATCAAAGACCAAGTGATGGCTGGAAAGCTTGTGTTTTCAACTCAATGAACACACAGTCAAAAAAGAGCTTACACTGATGTGTGGACACTTTCTTTCTCTTACACACAGCAGATGAAGAATGGCATGCCTGAGGAGTATAACAATCCCAGTAATACAAGAGGGGTGATGGGGTGTACACTTCTGCAGCAATGCAGACATCACAGTTGGACCTCCTGCAAGAGCCACAGCCACTGCACAAATACTGCTGGTAAGCCAGAGAAGTGTCTGGGTTACAGTGCTCAGCAGCAAATCCTCCATTCCCTAATGTTTTCAACCACTGCTCTGACACAGCACCCACAAACCTGTCATCTTGAAGCAGTGATGAGACCCCATGTTGTCCCATACTCTGAAGAATACCACCCCCTCCTGTCTGTTCTGTCCTATAGATACAGTCTTGTTCTCCTTGTGCCCATGAAGCTTGTGGAAGGAAGTTTGGGTGCTGAATATCTCTACAGACAGTTGAGAGTGCAAATAGTTTATAATCTCTTTCTTACTTGTTTTGAACAAAGGACTCTTTCTTTTACTATAACATGAGGAAGATAATGGGGTGGGGGTTGTTTTTTTTCTGTTTTGTAGTATGTGTTTTTTAAAGCACAGAAGATTTGGAATTCTGTACTTTCCTCTAGAGCTCACATAGGTGAAGAGCATTGCCTTTAGCAATGTGATCAACCAAGACATTGAAAGTGGGTGGGAGAAAAAAAACCTTCCTACTTGTTCAAAAGCAAAGATTACAAATCTGTGTTATCACATAAAACTGGTTAATTAATGAAGTCAGCATCAGACTGACATAAGTAGTAACCTGAAATTAGTCAGAATGACTATGTTTCTTCAAAGAAAAATTTTTGGTTTCCAAAAATCCTAGCAAAGCTAAGACTGTCCTAATCAACCACAAGAAGATTATTTCTAATATGCCATGATTTTACATTTATTTACACTCCAGCTGAGACAAACAGTTCCTTACTTATTTAATAGCAAGTTGAGTAATTACAAGCTGCTACCATTTTATCTGTTTCAGAGGGAACATTCAGCTTTTAAGAGATTACACAGTAATTAAAGCACTGCACACTCTTTACTGAGAGTAGAAAAATTATGACTGTTTTAATCATGCTGCAAGATTGTACTGGGATCACTATAGCCATCTTCAACAGATAACACAGTGTATGAAGTTTTCTTTACAGTGCCTTGAGGACTTTGGTTTATGACTACTTTAGCACACAGCTACTAATCATCAGTAAATTGAATTCTACTATATATACCATGAGGTTCCCGAATCCCGGTATTACCCGGGAAAGCAAAGAGCTCCTGGCTGCGAGTGGTATGGCCATTAGAGGGCCTGTTCCTACAGAAAGCAGGGCAGGCTCGCTTACAACAAGCCCGGCAGTGTTTCCTTTGTTGGCCCTGCACAGCATTAGGGGCAGCAAAACCACTGACCACATCTCACCGAAAGGTTTGAGACAGGCGGAAACATACACAATGGGCAAAACAACGTCAATGTCAACATCTCCACTGTGCATTTTACACCGTTGTGGGGAACAGCTCTTCATAGCCTTAAAAACATTCACTTTCCTTGCAAAAGACATCTGTGGGTTGATCTGTCTTCTAAGCTTTTGCAAGGGTGCCTATGGTACCTATCAACAGCTCAAGTCAGCATTTAAACACAATATACCTCAAAATTTCCCACAATCACCTCACCCACTTGAAGTTCCTTTCATTCCCCTGCATACAGAGCTTATTTCCAGTTTGTAATAAATCCCATCCACCCAAGTATCATATTCAGACATGGAAACATGCTCTCCCTATTGCCCCCACCAAATTTAAACTACTTCAGGCAGTGGTGGGGGTAACACAGTGGGGGGAAATCAGTGAACATCCTTGTGAGAGGCTAATGGATTCTTCCTCCCTGTTCCCACCAGGAGGTCTGACGGCAGAGGTATGCCGCTGCCCTTTCATGAGGAAGCCCACAAAGAATGAGTATCCAAAAATATATCCTTTGTTCCCAAACACTGGAGTTCTGTACACTTCCCCTCTTCAGTTATGCTTTGCTAATTCCCTGGGGCATTTCGGCATATATTTTCATGCCCTGTTTTCCATGCTTCTCTTACAAGAAGAGTTAGAAGTTCTGCTTGAGAATCTTAATTTCCATTAAAAAGAAAGCAAACTTCTATTTCGGGCACTGAAGCTGTAAGAAGGTAAAAAAGGGAAACAAACATAAAAGGGCTAGCAGAGTTGTGACACAGTACATCTTCAGACCCGGCACTAAGATCCTCAACCCAGTCTTTGTTAAAGTCAAAGGGAGCCTTCTAGCAATGGCAGTTTTAAAAATAAGAGAAATAAAAAGAAAAGGCAATGTGCAAGCCAAATTGCATCTCTGTCATAATCTGGCATGAACTGACACAGTGCTGGCTATCCGTGGAAGGACAAAATCCACTCCAGGTGAGGAAGAAGCTTACTGTTAGCCCAGAAAAGGAAGGAGAACAGTGGTTTAGAAGAGCACAGTGCCATTGTTTATCTGGCAAGACTCTGCTCACTGCATTTGCTGCAGCAGCTAAACCAAAAATAACGAAGTGATAAGCAGCAAGAACATAAACACACCAGATTCCCAGAGAGAAGTATCTCCGATTGAGGTGCATGTAGCTGACATCAGACAACGAGGTAAAAACAACAGGACAAGCTTTTCTCAAATACTCTCACTCTTTTATTAATGTAAAACAAAGTTTAAAAAAAAAAAAAAACCAACCAAAAAATAAGTCATGTCCCTCCATGTCTACTAACTGCTGATTGCACTGCTCATTCAGCTCTGTTGTCCTGATCATCACGAGTGTACAGGCCTTCACCTCAGTACCTCTGACACTCCCCAGCCACTAAATCATGCTACTAGAGCATAATTCAGCACACACTCTGTAAGCCTTGAGAATGTACTGCAAAATTATTAAAATCACTGAGAACAAGCAATGGGACATGCAACCATAATGCAAAATAAAATAGGGGTTCTGCTTTTCAGTGGCATGCACACTTTGCCTTACTTTGAAATACAAAGTGAGGTGCTGCAACCAAAACAGACAAGGCAGGGGATGAGTATGTACCTTGCAATGAATTACTGCCCTTTGAATACACATTTGTTACATTTTATCATACTGACTCTGGAGACAATCTGAAACAGAATTCATTTTTCAAAACAGCATCTGGGTGGCACTGCTGTTGCGAACTGACCTTTTGGGCCTCTCACTTTAAATTTGGGCCCCTCACTTTAAAAAAGGACATTGAGGCACAGAGCATGTCCTGCAAAGGGAAACATGGCTCATAACAGGTCTAGAACACATCGTATGAGGAAGGGCTGAGGGACTTGGGTTGGTTTAGCCTGGAGAAGAGACAGCTCAGGGGGTGACCTCATTGCTCTCTACAACTACCTGCAAGGAGGTTGTAGAGTGGTGAGGGATGGTCTCTGCTCACCTTTTGTACTTGTACCTGCAAGTGTGAGGACTAGAGGGAATGGCCATAAGCTGAGACCGGGGAGATTCAGATTAGATGTTAGGAAAATGTTTTCCCTGTTAGGGTGGTCAGACACTGGAATAGGAAATTGCCCAGGGAGGTGGTGGACTCACCAATCCTGGAGGTGTTTAAGGCATCTGGATCTGGCACTGAAGGATATGGTTTAGGGGCTTCAACAGTGACAGGTTAATGGTTGGACTGGATGATCTTAGAGGTCTTATCCAACCTTGATGACTCTATGATTCTAAAAGCCAATTATCTTTTCAAAAATGCAGGGCAGAACGGTGAAAAAAAATTGTATTTTTACCCTGCAGGTGGGCTTTCATCATCTCAGAACTCTTGAAGTTGTCCCTGCTCTATATTCCATCAGTCAGATTTTATAAAGACATGGGTTTCAGGAAATCAGGAATGACTGCAATGAAATAACAGTTTCAGTAATGTAAAACAGCAGGAGAAGAGAAACATGCCACCTTCAGAAAGAAACTAAAAGCACTTCCAAACAAAAGAAAACCCCTAATGAATCAAAAAAATGCCATGCACCCAAAAAGGTTTTAGTGGAGAGGAAAACTGAACACACATTCCTTCTCTCCTATACTTAAAGAGGAAATTATGGATTTAACCAACAAAAGTAGTCATGAAGAACAGATATGAAGGATAACATGATGTAACATATAATATGGCATTATGAAGGACAGATATAAGCTCTGTTTGCACTAGAAGTAACTAAGTGTTACTTGAACTGAACTACTGCAAACTATATAATAAGGGATTCAGGAAAACAATCACCATATTTTAATTTGATTTATGTTCTTGCCTTGCAAATGTCTAAACAGTTCTCAGCAACATGAAACAGGGTTACAAAGTCATAACAGCAGAATGTGAACTTTTGCCATGTTCAGCAGAAGGACCATTTGCATGTATATGCCTGTAAAGCAAGCACAGGCCCATGGGTAACACAGTGCCTCTCTGCAAAGGTGCTGGGGGCTGTGTCTGAATTAGGTGTTACTGGCACAAATTACAAGAAGGGAGATATCAGAGGCAATGCTAGTGGATCTACAAGTGAGGTCTCAAGACACATTTATTTTTTACATTCCTGTAAGCAAGCTGCTTAGAGGGGCTAGGAATTACACCAGAAACAGTCATGATTTGAAACTGAGAAAGGCTAGGACATAGTCAATACAGAAATGCTAATGTGGTATCCTGGGCAGAGGACAACAAATGGCACAGCAGAATTTTACTGTCCCAGTGAAAGGAGACCACAGGCACAGCTATATTCTATCACTTCTAAATCTGAAGAACTGCGGCATCCCAGTCTGAATACATAACTCTAATCAATGTATTGAAGCAAACTGAGCTGCCAGGCCCTCATGCCATGCATACCTATTACTCCCACTGATTGAAATGGGAGTGCTGCATGTGTTCAAAAAGCACATCCTCCAACCATTATCTGCTATGTTCATAAAAACAAAGCCCAGAAGAAACAGAGTCTGAAAGATGGAATGATGCATATGAAAGCATTTGAAAATGTAAAAAAAAAAAAGAAAAAAAGAAAAAACCCCACTGGGCATCTACAAACACACAGTCATACAGTCATTATTATTCTGCCTCCATTCTATGTAATTAGGAATCTTAACTGCATGCCTTCTATACACACAATGTGAAAGCAATTTATCAGCCTGTCCTATTAATGTTGGATGTTTGCCTTGGTAAAAAAGACAGGGTAAAACAAAGGACAAAAATTCTAATACCCTAAAGAAAATATCTCATGTATACCACAAATTACTTCTTGATTTAGAAGGTGCCTTTAAGGGCAAGGGGGTCTTTCTACCAACCAGAAAGCAGTTCTTATTTCTGTATCCTTATGCAACTTTCTAAGGAGAAGTTTTAAAGCTACTCTATAAAGGTCTATTTAAGCTTTCTTCCTGTTGCTCCTTAAGTACAAAATAAAAGCAATCATGATTTCCAGCATAAGAACAGTTTGTATGTGGGGAAACAGAGCACTTACCCTGAGAACAAACAAACCAACCCATGCCAAGCCCCCAGGTTAGGACCACTACAGAAGCACAATGTAAAGGTCTACTATCAGTACGAATAACTGAGCATTAGTGGCTCACAAGTGCTGTCTAGACAAAAAAACCAACCTTTTCTTGATATAGTTTGTGGAGCCAGTTGGAACATTCCTGCACTTCCTCTAGTGGAATCCGCCTGCCAATGGTAAACAGGAGGCATTGAGGAATATTAAATACTTCTGCTCCCATGAACAGCACTTGCATTGCACAGACAGATTATCCATCTGACAGGAGACTCACTACATTTTCCACCTTTTTTTAACTTGTGGTAACAACTCCTACATCAGCAAAGTATAGTTTTCTTCTAGAGCCACTTTTGGTTTTTAGATGCATGCGGAATTCAGAAATCTAGATTTCTGAAGCAACGTTCTAGATAAAGGTTTACAGCATTCTGTTTCCAAACAAATGTTTTGAATGAACCAGTTTCTTACCCCACCTATGAAGTTCAAGGCCGTATTTGAACAGTTAGGTACAGAAAGAAAACACAAACTCTTGTACTTAGGGGAAAGCACTCCAGTGTTTCTCTGGTAACATTTCCAATTCCTGTAATTTTTGTTACGTGCAGTTTGGTTGGATCATTTCCAGCAAAACGGCTCCAATCACTGAAAAATCCTCTCTTGACTAAGTTTTCATCGCATTATATGCATTTTGGTCAATAACCTTGTGACAGAAAAGAATCCCCTTGCTATCCTCATTTAGGTATGGTAATGGCAACATTTCATAATTTTACATTTTTCAGTATAGCATGTATTTTAATTAATATCCATCAAGAGCGGCATCAAATTAACTTCCTTCAGCACAAAAGAAGCCCTTCTCACAGCCAGCATGCTCCTGTTTGCAGTTAATAAGTTAACAGGTGTAACAATACTGTTTTGTTCCTTTATTTAAGAAAGTCATAAGATGACAAGCATTAAAGTCTACACAATTTAACAAGGCCATCCAAATTTTGCACACTGCTACTTAGTGCAACACCCACAGCACTTCAATAAGCAACCATGGAGGATTCTGAAGAACATCTGTAATGGTCCTCAACTAATTGCCAAAACAAATTTAGCCATACCTGTAAAAGCTTTTCAAGAGATGCAAAAGGATAGAAGGGCAAATAGCCCTGAACTGAGTCAGGAAAAGCAATTTCCATGCTCTGCCAGACTGACTTGCAGCAGGCTGGAATGGTGTCAGGGAGACACAGCAAGTACCCTTCTGCTCTGTTGGACGAATGGCCCATACAGGTAGGGTCAGCTGCTCCTCCATGAACACTAGCCAGCCAGGCCATGTGCACCAAACACAAGGACACCAGGCTGAACTACCAAGTGGGAAGACAAAACTAGAGAAAGCTTCTTTTTACCCTTGGGCAAAAAACAGTTCTGAAGAAAATATTTTCTCAAACAGGCAGAAAAGGGGAGGTAAAAGAAAAGCTTTGGTTGATATGCAGGATACTTCATGTTGGTATCCAAGATAGACCAATTGGACCAGACAGTTATAGCTGCAAAGGGGTTACGATGAAATTCTGCTCACTTGTGGAATCACTTCCAGGCTCCTATGCTCCAGCTCTAAACTATCACATGTCCTGAATGCATAGCATGAGTGCTGCTGGTGGAACCTTGCCTGGGAATTGGCCCATTAAGGTTACAAGAAGCCATTAGGGCAATCATCACTTATAGAAGCATCAATGAAAAGGAATCCAACAAATAGTTCTTTCACTAAACCTTCTTCTTGGTAGAGAGGGAACAGCAGTCAAATACGTCAACAATGGCACCACCAAACAGAGACTGGAACAGTCCTGAGCCTGCACCAGAGTAAGAGCCACTGTGCCAGAGACCAGGTATAAAGCAACTCCATCTGAACACTTAGAAGATGCTTGGTATTCTGGCCAAGTGAGTGAAAAGAGGTCCCACTGCTGCTGCTGAGCTAATAAACAGACACAAAAATTAATTAAAACCCCCCAAACAGTAAGTAGACATTCATGGATTCCCCACATATTTATAGCCACAAAACTTTACAATAAGCCTTCCCATCCCATAGGAATTTTTTATCTGAAGTTCTGTGAAGGCTGGTAGAGATTTGCTTTCTGTTACCTATTGAAACCATTTCCTTATTTGTCCAATTGTGATTGCAAATACACATTCCTGTATGCTAAAAAGGAATTAAAACATGGATTACTTGCCTTACATATAAATCTGCATGATATTTCTTTCCATTTAGAACTCCCAGCAATGTTGGATTTTCATTATTTCTGAAATTGAGGGTAGAATCATAGACTGCAGAAACTACAAGAAAAGAAACAGGTTATGTGATTACTGCAGTAATACAATGGAAATAAGTAATTTTCTCTCAGACAGGGAGAATATTTAGATATGAAGTCATCAGCAATAGCACCATAGTTTGAGCAGTCACCAAGGTAAAAGTTACAATGGAGTATTCAACATGCAGGTTTTAAGAAGCCAAATAACCAGTGAATCTTTCAGGAACTGCACCAGCAGAATGGAAAGGTTTGTTTTCTGCCCTTGCCTCTTTCCCCATCAGGTGCAGAATGTTGGGAACACAGTTACAGTTTCTGACAGACTATACCTAGGATTTTGCAGGAGTCAAATGGTTGAAAAACTGCTACCTTTCTCAATTCACTGTGAACGACACAACTATACCTCTAAATCTATGGAAAAAAACCAGGCAAATACACACTTTATAAACAATGAACAGTATACACCATTTGACTAGGAATAGGTAAAGTGTGTGTGAGAGAGACATCCTACAGCAGGAGGGCTTAATGCAACTACAAATTGTTGGGGTTCAAAACAACACCCCATTCGTGTCCATTATTTGATAACTCAGGCACATGCTATAGGGCAAAGGCAGAGACAATGACAGACCACATCTTATGTGAGCTGGGCTGCTGCTATGAAGACATGCAGATGACAGGAATGTAACATAGAAGTTCCACAGAACAAAATTGCAGCCAAACTTTCAGCGTTGAGAAAACTGTTTCTGCAGCTCAGGACTGAGCAGTAACCACAAAAGCATTTGCAAAGGCAAATCATAGTTAAACTAAGACAGCATTAACAAGCAGTTTCTACAGAAAAGCAATTCAGTGTTCAAAACCACATGAAGTGTTTCCAAAACGTTTGTTTGAATGCATCCTTAGAGACACTATTTTCCTGATGTCACAAAATTACCAGAGCACAATTAATTTTCCTGACACTGAAACCAACTGTGCATCATGGTACAAATTCTAAGATCAGTGCTAGCATGCAAACTTTTCTTTTTTCGTCACAAAGTGACTAACAAGCACTTCACATGTGGTTTGCTGTGGTTTAGGTTTTCTATTCTAGAATTCTGCAATAATGCACACTGTGAAGAACCTTTATTGTGAGAGCTCTTGACCTACCTAAGAAAGACTTTTATTACACACAACAGATTTGCTTTTGGTTTTGAAACTTCTCCAGCTATGACAGATAAATATGGCTTGGTCACAGCATTCAGCTCCCAGAAACTCACACATCATTTGTTACTGCACAGCAGAATTCATGGCACAGAACAGAGTAGACTGAAAGGAAATCCTGAAAACAAAAGGCCAAACCCTTGTCACTGCATACAGACTGTCTTCCTCACTAACAACTCTATTCTTTTCTACTACAGTTGGACTCGTAGCCCAAACTCAACACTACAACACAAGCCAAAATCCACTTCAAGCATACTACTCTCTCTGTACAATACAAGCAGGAAATTACTTTTTTTAAAAAATAAATTATTTGCCTGAATTTTTAAGCCGCTTAGCTTAGAAGGATTTTACTAATCTACTCTAATTTACTAATCCAATGTAATTGAAGAAAAACAAGAGCTCAGTTTGGTTTTTACAGGGTAAGCGTCTTAGTTTACTCTTTAATAGCATGAGATTATTCTAATGACAATAGGGATGCAATAAAGCAAAGTATGATATACACAGCACTTGTTCTTTCATCTTTTACAAGGCATCTACATTTGAGTTTTGATATGAACTGGATGTTTGTTCAGACACATTGGAAGATGCTTCTCCAGTTCTGAAAAAACCTTCTGCACAGTTGGGCAGGAACATCTTTATGTGCTGATGGCCTTACACAGAGTTTCTCTTTTCTCCAGGTAAAAAAAAAATAATCCCATCCCAGTTTGCAAATGGTCTGTAGTCTGATATTCAGTACAGTCCCTTTTAATAACACACTGAGATCTTTTGGTGCAAAGCAGTGCCAAATCCAGGACAATGATAGCATGTGCAGGTGTAAACAGACCTCTGTTATATCCAGATATAACTGAAGATAACTGGAGATTTCAGCTTTTTCATTCTGAAAGTGCAGGAAAAGAACAAGAATAGAAGGGTCAAATGAAAAAGAATGCAAAGAATTAAAATCTGCCAGAAAGCTTCCCCAGCCAAAGCAGCAATAGCATGCTGTGTGACACACTGGAACTGTTCATCATTAAATGTGTATTTTGGAATTACATGTTTAGAACTGCACTTCTCATGGCTTTCTCATCCAAAAACTGAAGAGTCCAGGCATGTCATGTTCTAAAACAAGTGAAAAAATAACTCCATAGTATCTTTAAAACATTGCAATTGTCTCACTCTCGGGCTAACATAGGCAGCAAATGAGAAGTTTTGTTTCAATTGTGAAATAAAATATTTTTGCAGAGAACTTCTATCTTCAAACCTCTTTTTCATTAAAACCCAAACACAATTAAATATTTGAAAGCCCTTTCAAAGGCTCAGAACAGATCGTAACTGAAAACAAAATTTTTCCAACTGAATTGCTATTTTCTGTCAAAAAAGGCTAGGCTTTTTTTTTGGTTGCTTTCTGATCTCTGCCCAGATTTTTTTTCATATCTTTAACTTTTGGTTCCTTGTACAGCGTTCTGACAGTGCTACTTAACTAAGAAATTAAGACTTAATTTCTTAATTTCAGTGTAAGAAATCTTTGGATTACATACCCAGAGAGGATTTTTCTTACTCCAACTGTCTTCTTGAATTTCATGCACTACTTTGTGGGCATGGTGGATTATGCCAGAATGATCATCCGACAAATCAACCTACAGGCAATAAGTATGCCTATGTGCACCTTCATACTAGCACACAATGATCTGAAGACTGGGAAAGGGAGAGGAAGATAGAGTGGAATTCACTGTACTGGTGCTATAACACCACCTTGACACAATCATTTGATTTAACACTTAATTTCTTTGATCACCTTGGTCAAAAATCATTCATCCTCTCAAACTTGGTAGCTTGCTCTGAAGGATGACTAGAAGCCTTACTTGAGAAAAAAAGTAAAAAAATTCAGGTCTAAAGTGCAGCTCATGGAAAGAAAAAAGTCATTGGAATACCCCCAAACACTGTCATACTGAACTCCATGAGAACATCACCCTGGAATTTATTCCTCATGCATTCCCTCCAGGGCAGTAGTTCCCAGCATGCACAGCTGGCAGAAAAGGTATACAACACAACTTGGGAGTTATCTACCATCCATCATGAGGCACATTTTTAAACACAAGTCTTAACTAACTAAAAACAGCTGAAAGGAACTGCCTGATATACAGCCAGGCAATAAAAGTAACAGTCTTTTGCAGTATTTATGACATCTATTTTAACTGTAATTAATGAATGAGTATTTTCATTTGCTTCAATGGACAGTACAGGTGACAAGCAGCAACTTATTAAGACAGTGAATAGCTTCTAGAAGCAAAGTTCCTGAGGACTGCATCTGTACTGCCATATTGGTAGAGACAGACACTAACAGAAATATGGGAACAAGTTCAAAAAACATTAAAAGCACTTCTTTAAGAATCAAGTTGTGTGCAGAGATCTGAATTCGTGAGAGTAAGTCTCTGAAAAGAATTCCATTGTCATTTATGAAAGAAATGAGTTAAGAGGGAAGGTTCTTTACTTGTTTTTTTGTGTGAAAGATATTTTTATCCAAACATATCTGCTTCTGCTGACAGATATGGCACCACTGGTACGGAGGCAGTTTCTCATGTATGCACATTGAATAAACTCTTTCTGAAGCTAAGCTTTTCAAAACAGATGGACTTGCCAGACTGATGTCAACAATGTCTATTTCCAACTACTGCAGAACTATTTCAGAACTACTTCCAGAATGACTGAACCAGGTAGCATTAAGAGTTGATACGAAGCTTTGAAGAGGACCAGTCACTGCTACTATGGGTGATGGACCTCTACAGCCAGAGAAACAAGCATCCATCCATCCTAGAGTACAGGCTGAATCACACCCTTGTTAGAAAGGGGGAACAAAAATTGATAGAAACTCTGACATATCCAGCTGTGAACTGGTCCCAAACATATGGCTTGACTTCACTGCTATGTTGTGCTGAAGCTATATCTCTTAGCAAGGCTCTCCAGCCAGGCCTACCACCCCTACTGGGAGAGCTGAATGTGCATTAGCCTAAATGACAGGCCCCAAATGGGCTCAGGCAGCTCAGCACCAGTCTCTTGCTTTTAGAGATGCATCCCACTGCAGATTTGACTTAATTTCTAGATAGAACTTACATTTCTAGATTATAGACTGTCAAAATATACTCCCATCATGTTCTTTAGTAAAAAAAACTATGCACGGACTTCCTTATTACCTGTACATAATAATGTTACAAGGAGTTCCAAAAATAAGACATTGCTTACAAAGGCTTTTCAAATGTTCTTCACATGTACCCCTTGTTTCTGTAGGAGAGAAACATATAGAAACCGAGACAATAACTCCTGTATCTTCTTCTCATTGCAAAAAGTGACAAGGCAAGTAAAGCAACATACCTAGAAGAACCTGCAACACCATTCTGGGGTCATCAACCCCTCAAATGGTTGTTGAGGGTCATCAAACCCTCACATTAAAAGGTTTTTAATTCTTGACACTTTTTGCTGAAACTGTATATGGGAAATTATGATTCTGTGCTTCTCCTTGAACCCTCAACAGGAAAATACTACCTTCTTACAGGCCTTACACTGCTTGATCTGGCAAGTCACCTGGACTGAGGTAGTGATGTGCACTCCCCCAAGTATATAAGTAACCTAGCAATCTCAGTCTTCATCTTCTGAAGGTATTTCAAATATTTATGATCCTAGTAAGCGTTATTGTAGTGTACCACATGAATGTCTAAAAGTTTTTATGTCACTTGGGTTCCCTAAAGTTGTTTCCTTTTGAAACATCTTTCTACAAATCAGCTACTTGTCCATAATCATGCCATATTTTGCTTGCATTGCACAGAGCAGTGAAAAGAACAATATCACCACCAAAATAAACTGTCCCTGATTCCCAGCTCAGGGCATTAGAGGTCACAGTTTTGACACATTTCTTTAGCGTCTTAAGTCTACCACCCCCTGCCCTCAGCAAAACAGTCACCCTTATTCAAAAAGCAAGGTTAAAGTGTGCCCTTAAGGGGGTTGCTGGATGCTGCACATAACTTACCTCTTCTTCACATCCCAAAAAAGATCCAAGTTATGCTATACATTTTGGGGATGGAAAGTTGTGGGTGCCTGATAAACTACAACAGAAATGTGATCTACCTAACTTGCACGAGGATATGTAAAAGAAACATGACAGGTATCAAGAGAGCTGACTGCAAAGCTCCTTTTACAGCAGCTATCCCAGATATGTCACATGAAAACATGTCTTCAAAGATAAAAGAAGTTTTGACATTAACTTCAGTCAAGCCGGAACATTTTCTTCTAAACCAGTAACCACTTTGTCTTTCTTACGTATCAGCCTTCTAATAACACACCAATCTACCAAACCCCGAAGATACTGTAACACTGTGGCTACTTAGCACTGTCTTTCCTTTGTACACAGCAGAAGACTTTGATAAATAGTATTAGTAAAACAAAATCACTTCAAAGGTATTTGAGCAATATTCTTACTGATGTCACTTGAAAGTTGGCAAATGCAAGTAACCAGAAATAACTGGAGGGTTGGGAGTTTAGAACAACATCAACAGAGAAAAACGTACTCATGTTCTGTAAAGTAGAAATAATCTGTTTATGAATTTCGGCTATGTGTATCTTCAGCCAAGGTCTATTTCCCCTTCCCCAGCTCCACAAAGAAACTCTAAAGAACAAATCTATACAGGAATTTAAAGCAAAATATTTTTTATTTTAAAATCATGTTATTTGAGGCAGATATTTACCACAAGAAAATATTTTAAGACCTGCTGCCTTAGGTTCTCGACTGATGCATTTGCTTCGTTTAGAACGGAATCACTCAGTATGTACTAAGAGATACTATACTTTGGCAACAGGTACATAATATGCAACTTGAGATTCCACAGAGTCACAATAACAGAAAACAAAACAAAAAAATAAGAAAAAAAAAAAAACAACAAAGTTGCTCCAGGCCTTTGTTGGTAAAACCACAGGCTAATGGAAAAAAGGTAAGAAAGGATTCCAGGGCTTTTGTGCTAGGACACATGCTACAGGGAAAACAAAAGCATGGCAAACTGAGAGCAGTTAGATAAATAACCATTTAGCATTGTTCCCTGTGACTTTCCTTACCTACATTTCTCAAACACTGCACGGTGACAGCAAATCCTTTTGTTCGTGGCAGTAGGTGATACTTGAGCTTGGGCAGACCTTTGGCTTCGGCTACCTGCATGCTAATCTGGTGCTTCTGTTCTGTGAACCTTGTGCCCTCGCAGTGAATCAGGAACTAAAATCAAGAGAGAACTACAGTTAGACAGAAGCTCAGGTGTTCTACTTCTGACTGAACAGAGGTCTCTCTAATTCCCACCAGTACAACCCAAATCAGCACTGCGAGCAGGGACAGGTGTACCCACACACACATTTAGGACATTTATTTGACTGAAGTAAAAAATCCCAACCAACCAAAAAGAAAAACCCCAACAAAAAAGTTCCAACCAAAGACTCATTCAACTTGCTATCCTCTGGTTTGAATTTTAGCCTTTAGGCTAAACATCTGCTCCGTTACTTGCTATCAAAATGACTTGATTTCTCTAAATGAGTTGCTCCATCTCTAACTAGATGTTAGAAAACACATAAAACATAGTCCTGTTGTAAATCTCTCACTGATGGTGAAGTGTTCAAGTATCTAAACCAAACACATTTCTAAGAAATGCTTCAGTGCCTAGCTTGCTTCCCCTCACTCCAACCTACTTGCTGCTTTCACTATGACACTAGCATCACTGACAACTGCAGACAGTAACTTTGATGCCAATGACAGAGCTGATAACAGATGTAAGTCAGGAGACACAGAACAAATGAAAGCCTCATGCCCTTACGAACTATACAGTGGAAGTGCTCAGACATGAACAATTACAATCTTGCCACTGGCAGGCAGGGGGGAGCACACAGATCTTTGGAGAGTCATCACTTGCTCGTCTGCTTTCTGCCAAGCCTGAATGCAAACTAGCACATCAGAGCACTGCCAAACCACACAAGCTAAGACCTCATAACCCACAGCAAAAATGTGGCCAACAGAGAGAGAGAAGAAAACTAGCCAAGCAGCCAGCTTCAGTCCTAGCTCATCTAAGAGCACTTTTATTCATGTATCAAAAGCATAATGTTATGCAGCTAGATGAAACATAGAGAAATTGATGAGACAGGCTTTCTAGTCCACTTAGCATGCTTTGCTTGTCTACCTTCCATGGTGCTATTGTGCATGATGATGTCATCATACAAAGGCAGATTAAAACCCCACACTGCAATAACTTCAGATGTACATCAACAACTATCTACCTTATATAGGTATAGCTCCTTTTTAGTAATCCCTCTACAGCAGTACCTACAGGATGGTGGTGGTTTGTGTTCATCAATTAGAGCTGAACTGCCTAGGTGTATAGAAAGGCATTCAACAATTCAATTATGACAGTTAAAAAAAAGCTTGTTTCAGAGAATGAGAGATACAGCATATGCATTTTCACAAGGAAACTGCTTCCTAAGCAATAGGTTCTGTAGGTCCTGGTGAGGCTGATGAAGATACCAGTTCTTTAACTGAATTGCCCTCCTGCTATCACCAGCTCAGGAGAAATACAGTTTTTCTGATTACTGAGAAAAACTTCAAAGGCTTTTCATTCTCAGAGTAGGAAATGCCAGGCAGGGTCAGTACTAAAAAATCATGGTGATGCAAAAAGTAACACCGTCCTGTTAGTGAAAAGTGACACCAACCCTCTCTCCATAACACTGCCAATGGCCCCAACAACCCACTTCTCCAACTAGGTACTTATCTATGGCTTCCACCTCTGCTGTGCCATGTCTGACCAAGCATCTTCACAGGAATGGCAGAATCGCAGGAGAAGAGAAAACACTAGTATGAACTTTTAAGGTGAGAGGGCAGCTTAGGTAAAGAATAAAGCCAATGTGTTTCAATACAACATTGTCACATGCATCTGTTGCACCCCCATGGGCCCCTGCATCTACCCCTGTATCCAGCTCCTGTATCTAGAGGACCACAGAGTTTACTGAGTGGATCACAGTGGAAGTATTTTTGCAGTAATATCTGCAGGGTTCCATACTACAGAGGAAGAAAACAGGTAAGATAGACTACTACATGGGAAATTCAAGAAAGAATCTGATTCTTCAAGAATACCCTCCTGATACTGCTAGGAAGCCCATGAATCAAAGTTCTCGGAGCAACCTGGTGACTATCATGTTGTCTGTGCTCCTCATCCCTGCCAAGCATTACAGCACCTCACACTCCACTTGTTATTCATTACTCACCCAAAAATTTTCAGGATAGTCCCGGAGATTCAGCAGCTTCTGCATGACTGTTTTCCGATCTTCCTCCCACTTACGCTTGCAGAAGACTATCTCTAGGAAATACCACATCCAGCCAATGATAGGCATGTAGGAGAGCTCCTTCTTTGCAAGCACTTTGGAACTCTGCAAGACAGAATCAAAGCAAGTAAAAGAGTTAAACCACTTAGAGTTCACTGTGTGTATGACACATGCACAGTTATACACTAATATATTAATTCATATTGACCAGTCCCACTTTTAACACCAGTGTAAAAGCAAAACAAAAATAAATTTTTCTCATATGACAGAATAGTCAAATCTAGTATCAGATATCTGCATGGAAGACTTCCAATATTAAACATTTATGTGTGTATTTGTCTATCCTACCCAAACACTGAAACCCAAAACAGAAGTCAAATTCCTTCAAACACTAAGGAATCCATGCAAAAGTGCCAAACCCACATCAACTCAACTTCTTAACTCAAGCAGACTCAAGTTCCTTTAAGATATCTTGCAGCTATACTTCTCCCCAAAGGTGGGACATCTCATCATGCGAAAAAAACCAAACCAGCAGAGTCACAGAGCCATTGCTGCACAGCATATTGATGCTGTACACATGTGGTTTACCAGTGGAAGAAACCTTAAACAACACCAAATATAACAACAGCAATAAGAATACATGATTTGTGTTTAGGTTTGTTTATGAAAGGGCAGAAATATTTACAGTAATGAATTTCAAAATGTGCTTGGGAAGTAGAGAAAGCACCATTGCTGTCTCACAAGTGTGACAGACATTGAAGTGATTGGTCCAGACACTCCACAAGAAATTTATGATTTATCAAGCATTCAATGAGTTCCAAAACTCAAATACTACTCCAGAAATTAACTTTGTGATTATCTTAGACTGACATTCCTTTGGGCAGGAGAGCTGATTCCACTTGCTCCTTTTCTGTCTTCCGAGCCAGCCTGCCTTGGTGAGCTGTCATACATTTCACTTTGTTATTTTATGAATAAAATGAACACGTGTATGTGGCTGTGTGTTGTTGCTTCAGCATTTCCTGAAAAACAGTGACATTTCTTTAGAGGACAGATGGAGTGATTACAGTCCAGTTTCTAACGATGATATCATTATACACTAGGCCATCACAGTGCTCTGCAGATGGATTCCAGGGCATGGCATTTGACTAGCAGAAATTATTTACCAGTAGAAGTTGCCATCAACAGAAAATATTTACTTTTTATTTTTTTCAGTCACTGTTGTTCATTTGGTTGCTAGGGGAAGACTTGACCTAATTCTTTATCTCAGCTCATTCCTTTCATCTGCTTTCTTTCTTTGAGAAGGAAAATACCTTAAATAATTAAGCTATCTCAAAGCTCATAAGACTGGAAGGCAAGTGCACATCACATAGCTTTGCTAGCAACTGTTACACAGAAGCAGAACAGAAGATGACACGAGACAATTCCATTTCTAAGAATGCAGGAACCATCTCTGTCAAATGATTTAATCTTTGTAATAAAGTGCACCCTCTTGAGCATTTGAGTATTTCAGATTTTCAGTGCTGAGCCCAGATCAGGACTCCAAACCCAGCTCTCCCACAAGGAGCAGCCACAGTACTCGGCACACTGCCATTTCAATTCCAAGCCATGTTGTACCTTAGTCCCTACTACATGGCAGCAGCAACACTGAGTCCAGCCTCCTCTTCCAGCTCCCCAAACTGCCCACAGAGAAACAGCCTCTCGTTCTACCATTGTCGTTAGCTCTGTTTTTTCCCTGTTCTCAGTTACTCTCAATACAAGTAATTTTCTTATTTCTGAAATAAGTGTAAATAGTCCTAGCATATAGCTTTAAGAGCCTCCAAAGAGCATTTTTTATTGTAGGCCATGTACAGTATAGCTTCCACTCAAAGGCACACAGACCAGTTCATGTGCCATTCCAGTCCTCTCCACCATACATGCCTGAGGAAGACAGCTGAGCCAAGGGCTTCCCTCGAGAAACCCCAACAGAAGCAAAGTGTTTCTAGCTGAGCAGGGAGGGCTAAAAGCTTAGGGAACTACTGCCCACATCAGTCACAACCAGGGCAGCCATCAGCCACTGCACAGTGAGAGCAACAACAACAGTGTCACTACCAGCAAAAGAAAAAAATCTACATGCTCTTGAAGTTTATTTACAGTAAGTGTTCAGTACCATTAATCTAAGCATGCTCTGCATAGAATGCACAAGGCCTCCAGAGCACAGAGTCACAAAAGAGAACCTAATAGTTCTCCCTCCCAGACTTTAAAATGCAGGAATCCTAGTCCAAAAAGCTAGCTAAAATAACTATTTCACCATACCTGTTTTCTAGTGTTTTGCATATTTTAAGGAGTGTATGAGTTATGCAAGAGGGTAGAGAGAAGTTGCCACCCCTATTTTCTTTCTTCCCCAGTGAAACTAAGAAACGATACCGTGAGCTAAGGTGCCACATCACACAGGTATAACCACAAAAGCAGAACAGATGTCTGAATTCTTCCCCAACACATGCTCTTATTAATTTACTGTGCCAATGCATTTTTAAAATGCAAAAGTGCTCTCTTAGACACATGTGAGCATGAATCCTTAGATGCACATAAAAAGAAGCTAAAACACCTCATACTATTTTGTGCACCCATCTGCCCTAGGAGTAGAAGGAAGGCTAATGACAGAACAAATTAGACAAAGGAAACTCCTCAGTGCGTTATACTGGCAAGACTGCTCTCATGTGGGAGGAATACATTAAGTCTCCCCTCAGAAGTTACCATCTTTCTTACAATAACTAGAGCTACAATCTGTTCTGTTTTGGGCATCTACCCATGCACAGCTCCTCTGCAAATACCTGAGGGGAAAAATGCTACTCCAGTTGACTTCAGCCACTAGCATTTCTTTACCAAAGTGCTTTGGTAAATACATGACAGTTATGTCTAACCTTCAAATTCAGCTTGTTCAACGGAAGAAAATTAATTAAAAAGTGATGATTTATTCTATGTAAACTGCCTTCTTGAAGGAGGTCAAACATTTTTAGTGCTCAGAACTAATTTCAACAGATGTTTAATGAAATTATTGCTGGACAGGGACAACTTATCTACAGTAACAGCATTTTAACCTGGATTAATTAATTTTGGCCAAGTTTGTTCAGATGGAAATATCTGTGAAGTTCTCCTTTTGTGAATGATTGCATCAACATCACAAAGTATTTTTACAAGCTTACTTTAAATGCATTTGCCCAGCTATGCTGTCAAGAAAGAAAATCTTGATTCTATCTGTCCTGCCTCAGTTATTCAACACCTCTTGACCAAAGAATGCAACAAACTGCATGAAATCAAGGTGCAAGCTGACAGTGTCCAACAAAACTTGTTCCACAGTTCCAAAACAAGTGACTTTTTGTGGCTATGCAAACCATTAGCAGCAGCAATTTGCCTCATAAATTATTTGCTCTCCAGGCTATCCTCAGCATTGACATACTTTTGATGATTCTGACTGCTCTATTTTTGAAATATAGCACTCCTTCATATTATACTCTCTGCGACATCAAGGCAGAAAGATGTTTCTTTAGTCCCTCAAAAGCCATCATTCCAGAAACTTATTTAGGCTCCTAATTTCTAATGCTACACATTGAATAAAGCTTCTCCATGTTGGAAAGGTAACACAGCAGTATTTTAGAAGATACGTGCCCAAGCACAAGCTAACATGCTGCATTAAATATAAAAAATAATAATGCACATTTGGTTGCCTATAAGAACAGTTACACACTTTAGAATCATAGAATTGTTTAGGTTGAAAAAGACCCTTATGATTATCAAGTCTAACCATTAACCCAGCACTGCCAAATCCACCACTAAACCATGTCTATAAGTGCCACATCTACACATCTTTTAAATACCTACAGAGATGGGAACTCAACCACTTCCCTGGGCAGACTGTTCCAATGCTTGATAAAACTTTCAGGGAAGAAATTTTTCCCAGTATCCAATCTAAACCTCTCCTGGTGCAACTTGAGGTTGTTTTCTCTCATCATAAGTAAAAGCAATCACTTTTTACCTGGGAAAAGAGACCGAGCCACACCTTGCTACAACCTCCTTTCAGGTAGTTGTAGAGAGCAATGATGTAGGTACTCCCTGAGCTGCCTTTTCTCTAGGCTAAAGAACCCCAGCTCCCTCAGCTGCTCCTCATAAGATTTGTGTTCCAGACCCTTCACCATCTTCATTGCCCTTCTCTGGACAGGCTCCAGCATCTCAATTTCTTTCTTGTAGTGAGGGGCCCAGAACTGCACACAGTACTTGAGGTGTGGCCTCATCAATGCCAAGTACAAAGAGACAAACACTTCCCTGGTCCTGCTGGCCACACTATTTCTGACAGGCCAGGATCCCATTGGCCTTCTTGGCCACCTGGATACACTCCTGGCTCATGTTCAGCAGTTTTCAACAAGCACCCTCAAGTCCTTTTCCTCCCAGGCAGCTTTTCAGCCACTCTTACCCCAGCCTGTAGTGCTGCATGGGGTTGTTGTGACCCAAGGGCAGAACTCAGCACTTGGCCTTGTTGAACCTCATATCACTAGTCTTGGCCCATCGATCCAGCCTGTCCAGATCCCTCTGCAGAGCCTTCCTGCCCTCCAGTAGATCAACACTCTCACCCAACTTGGTGTCATCTGCAAAATGATTGAGGTGCTTTCAGTCCAGATCATCGATAAAGATATTCTGGCCCCAGATCTGAGCCCTGGGAAACACCACTTGTGACCTGCTGCCAGCTGGATTCAATTCCACTCACTGCCACTCTCTGGGCACAGCTGTCCAGCCAGTTTTTCACCCAGCAAAGAGTGTACCTGTCTATACTATAAGCAGCTGGTCTAGTGGGGCCCCTTCTTAGCTGGCCATCTCACCAGCTGCATCAGAAAATTATCTTCCACACACTCCAGAAATCTCCTAGACTGCTTCCCTTCTGCTGTGTTTTATTTCCAGCAGACATCTGGGAAGTTGAAGTCCCCCACAAGAACAAGGGCTACTGACTGTGACACTGCTTATAGAATATTTCTTCTGCCTCTTCATCTTCATTCATGGGTTAGGCAGCCTGTAACAAACTCCCACCAGGATATCTCACTTGTTGGCTTTCCCCCTGATTCTTACCCATAAACACT